ATAGCCAAATGAAGCAGAATCCCCGAAAGCCGCATTTTTATCACAGAGGGAACTTTTATCTGCCCAATGATGATGATAGTGACATTGATATTGAAATGTGCCCTAGATGTCAGAACCTGAGGCTGGTTTATGATTGCCCTGCTGAGGTTTGTCCTGGGAAAAGACATCCAACTCAGGTATGCAGGGCTTGCACACTTTGCATAGGGAGGTGTGTTCAGTGTGGTCGGTGCATTACTGATGATGAGTATGAGGAAACATTTTGTCTGGAAAAGCTTTGCTCAGATTGTGGGAAGAGGCACAAGTCTCAAGAGAGGCAGGATAGAAAGTATGGTCCATCCAAGTCTATCATTCTCCATGAACAGAATTATGGCTTTGGTCAACATGGCTAGATACTGTTGGTTTTGTAGATTTGCTGGTTTCATGTTATGGATGAGAAAATTGCAAGTGGTAACTAGGGCATCTGACCAAGAAAAATCATGACAAACTTTAAGATTATGGTTCCTGTACCTCGTATCACTTGGTCAAGTGACTTTGTTGGGTCTAGCCCTATTGGTTGACTTCAACTTTGGTTGTTTGAATCTCATCTGAAGCTCTGAGCCCACTGCTATTGCTTCATGATGAATAGAAAAAAAAAATATTGTAAAAAATAAAAACAAAGGAGATGGAAATTTGAGGGATGAAGGATCATTATCAGCAAAGTTCTGCATCCATCATCCGGGGCATGAAGTTTTGTTAATGGTGATTCTTTTTGTTGGCTCTGGCACAAATAAAAGTTTTATGAGTTTGTTGGGTGATTCGCCTGTGAATATTAGGCTGTGAAGTTTGTTTGCATTTGACTCAGATGTGAGGTAGCCTACCAGCACATTCAACAATAGGAGTAACTAATTGTAAAGAGCAAAGTGGGAAGGTGACTTATTTGTTGTACTATGCATTTGCCATCGTGCTCCATAAACTCTTTGCTGGCCCGTGGAAGCACTCATATGCTGCCTTGAAGCGGGGTTGTGTTGATTGTTCCAGTCATGCGATGAATTATGTCTATCGATCAGTGTTCCAGCTGTGCAGCGGTTTATGAAGATTGCTGTTCTAGTGGCAGTGTCATCTGTGACTTACTATTTGGGTTAAAGCCCCATGCAGAGGACCGCTCCTCTTCTACCCGGCTTATATACACTGATATTTTTAATGTCATTTCGTGGCTTCGTTCTTCCTTAGCGCCATGAATGTAGCTGTGAATGTTTCCTTCAATGGAAACACTTAGTTCATTTCAAATGGGAATTGTATTATTTTCAAATGGGAATTGTACCATGTTATTTCGTTCGAGGAGGGTTTTGTTGGTTTCAGTTATGGTTTCTGGCAGTTAAAACTGTGTGCATTGAGCAGAAGTTATGTATGCTTCTTTGGATGCATCTGAATGTTGTAAAATGTACTTGATAATCAATTTATGCTTTTAATTTCAAGTGGACAAGGCCATTGCATAAACTTTTTGAGCACACGTGCAGTCACCTATTTAAGACTTTATCATTCAATCAGACCACAAGTTCCTTGCCTTGTTGATCTAGTATTTGTATTGTGGGATTGACAGATAGGTCTCAATAGAGTTATTTAAGGAATGATTTTGACTTCATTCCTCGACTTTATTCTGCAAAGCATGGCAGATAAGTATGTTTTGTGACTGTTCAACTTTGAAGTGGATGGTGCATGTTTGTCTGTCCTGAGTCCTGACCTGATGGGCAGTCATTTTTATTGAAAGGTTCTTAGAAAAAAAAAAAAACAAAAACAAAAACTCCATCTTCCTCCTTCAAAGCCTCTTTTTAGAAACGAGAATGCAAACTTCGGAAAAAAAGTGGTTTTAAAGTTATCAAGTCATCATCATAAATCATAAGTCACGTTTTCAATGCCCCTCTCTTTAGCACTTCAGAAATCTGCTGTGCTGAGAATGAGAGACATTCATGGCATGCATGGTCCAAGTCCCAGCACATCAAAGACAATGATTATATGCTCGCATTTCTTTCGTGTGCTAACTCTGCTATCAGATTCTCTTGCCAGTGGCATTTTGGTTCCTGCAAATCTTCATTATGAGTACATTTCTTTTGACGAATCGTTAACCAAATCTTGCCCTCTCTCATCTGGCTTCTTGATAATTATGTACCATGTGAAGGAATAAATGAGCAAACTGTAAATTTAAAATTTATTAAATCAATGTTGAGGTGACAAATGCAGCTATAAAAGTGCAACAGTAAATGAAGACAAATGGGATTAAACTGGTTATTAGTGGCATATTATTGCTGCAAGGAGATGGAAGAGGCTACATTGTTCGACACATGTAGTGTTCTATGAATCTGATTCTTTCGCAGATTTCTTCCGGAGCTTTTCCACCCACTTGAAGCTTAAAATTGCCTTCCCGAAACTGCTCTTTGATCCATCCTTGCCCTTCTTCTTGTCATTCTCTGATGATCCCGGTGGTGGTGGGTCGGGGTTGTTATCCCATTGATCAGCCCAGGACATACCAGAATCCATGTCCTCTTTCTTTTCTTTTCTTCTCTTCTGCGTTTCTTGGTTTGGAACTTCTTTTAGATGCAAAGCTTTGGCAAAAGGGTTATTTGCTTATTTTAAGGTCCAAATCTGCTTTTCCTTAAAATTTCAGTGAAGGGACAGGTTTGGCCGAAGTTAGTTATTTCTGATGAACAAGTTTAGAAATTTCTCTAACGGTCTTTTACTTATTATGTAGCTCGATGTTTCTCGAACCAACTTCGATTCTTAATTTGGTTATGTCCTTTATTTGACTAGAGTAAGAGATTCGGTCTTTTTTCTTTTTGGATGGGATAAATTTGGTTTAAAGTTGGTTATTTTGGTAAGTAACCTCTTGTTGACCAAGTCTCACAGGAGGCAACGAGCAGTCAAGTCAAGGCTAAAATCTATATGCATGCCATGCCAAGCCCTGTAAGTTATAGCCATTCAGATCAAAAGTATATATTATGCATCCAAATATTCGAACTGTATAAATACACCATGCGATCTAATTCAATTGACAAATACATTGGGAACCAATGGACTACAATCTAAGCCTCAAGGGAAGGGGCAACAAGATAAGGGTAAGCTTTACTCATCCTTTAACTTTGAGGCTCATCATCACTAGAAAAATTCAACGTGACCTGCAATTTCTCTACACAACAACTTGGCCTCACTGGCTAACTTAAAGCTCTTAACAATTGCAAGCCCTGTTTGCTTGTGTGTAGAAGTTGGGATATATTGCTTGGCCTCTTCTTCCTTCCCCAACAACAGAGCTTCCCTTGCAGGAATCACATTTTCCCACCAAAATTCCCTTAAAATTCCATGCATCAAGTTCCAGTAACTACGGTCCCTGCACACACGGAATATAGTGCTTCCGTTTGGTGTCCAGCAATACAGATCAACCCACTCTCTGTCCATTATCTCCATTTGACCCTGCACCTGAGGCATGTAATAGAACGGCATAGTTGACCAGGGTAGACCCTTCTCAGGTTTGCCCTTGTTATATGGACACTTCACTTCCAGTATCCCACCGCCTTGAAAGCAATCGATAAGACCATCAAGAAGACCATCAGGGGAGGCACCAACCCAACCAAGTCGCTCCTCTGTGTGGGTTGCAAATCCGTATGAATTCACTTCACGACCTGTGATGCTTTTGTACTTGCCGATGGCCACTTCTTCATTGAGTACGCCCCATTCCATGGCTCTTTTAGAAGCTTCCACAATTTGTTTCTCTGATTCAAATACCTTCTCATGCCAAAGCTCCGGCCGACGGTTCCCTTTCCAAAATCCCAAGGCAGTGCTGAAGGTGCTTGTCGTGAGCTTGTCCCTTCGTAGAGCAAACCACTCCTCTGATCGTTGGGGAGCATCAGATGGTGAAATCTGGGTGGCCATCACTAAGGACGATGGGGGACGCATGACAAGAGGGAAAATTGGAGAGATCACCGGTGAGGTGCATGTGGAAAAAGGTCTCACAATCACATTTGCACCTATTTTCCTTGAAGATAGAAATTCTACAGCTTTCTGGTGAAAGCTGCAGAATCTGGTGCAGCAGATATTGCTCGTTGCTGATATGACAATGGCGCCCATGGCCACTTTGTTTGGACGAGAGGTCCTGCAAAAGCCACACACTGCTTGAAAGTCAAGTTGAAGAAACTTCCTTAAATTTTTATATGCAAAATATTGAGATATTTGTTTACAAAATTAACAAACAATGCAAAATAGCCGTTGGACACATAACATTACACAAACAGGCAGTGATCTTGTCCTTAATCAAAAACTCAAAGGGAAGCATATTCTATTCTTCCTCCTTCAGGACAAGTATTGATCCTTCTATCAAAGAAGGAACTTAAAATTCAATGCTTTTCCTACTCACTGCATTATGCCAACCCTATGTGGGTGGCAAAACGCTCGAACACAAAAAAATGCAGATGGCTCAGCTCAATGAGGAAACAAAGAAAACCCAAACGTACAACTTTAGGCCTCAATATTAAGTTTACCCAATTCAATTTGAGTGACAAAACCCACATCATTGGCATGCCTTGGTTCAAAAATGGGGGGGGTGGAAATTGAGACCAAAGGTGTTTGATTTTATACCTGAGAGAGGGCTTGAATTAAAGACTCCGACTTTGTGAGTTGCAAAGGAAGCAGAAGCTGGTTTGATATTATGAGAGGGCACCCTTCCATGGAGACATTTAAGAGAAGCAATGGAATGAGAGGAAGAAATTTGAAGGAGCTTCATCTATCACAAATTTCTGGCAACCATTACTAGGGTTTTGCTACTCCACAATGAGAGAGAGAGAGAGAGAGAAGGCGGGGTACCAATTGATAACATTTCATTTTACAAGATGAAACGCGTTTTATAGCTACTTCAAAACGTCGTCGTCTGACAGGATACTATAAAAGTATAAAACTGCCAAACGCAGCGTTTAGCGTGTGGAACTTTGAGTATAAGTAACTAACTATAAAAGCCCATTAACCACAGTGGAAGAGAGAGAAGAGAGAGAGAGAGTTCCAGCTGAGTTCATTCTCCTTTCTTCGCTAATAACAAGCAAAGCTTTTACTTCACGCTCTCTCTCTCTAGCTCTCTGTCTGAGCTAAAAACCCAAACTTCCGTCTGCAAAAAGGGAGGCAATAATCCTAAGCAAGGCCCAAATCTCCATCTCTTTCTCGCTGAAGAAAGCACAAGAGACCTTCTAATAATGGGCTTGCTGCTGCTGCTCATGGAGACCCTCACTTTCTTCTTGAACCTCATCCCCTTCTAATCAAACTCAGTCTCAGTCTCTCTCTCTCTAGCGCGCGCCCAACGGATTTAAAGACCCAATTTTGAGTAAACCCAGTTTCTCAATTTCAACCCCCAGTCACCAACCACCATGTACTTGTCGGAAAAGCCTCGAGCAATCGATTTTTACAAAGAGGAAGGCAGCCGAGACATGATGATTGAGGTGGTTTCCAATGACGACCTCTCTCAATCTCAAACTCATCACCCCAACCATCAACCACAGCAGCAGCAGCAGCAGATGCTTTTGGGGGACAGCAGCGGCGAGGACCATGAAGTTAAGGCCCCGAAGAAGCGAGCCGAGACTTGGGTCCAAGACGAGACTCGGAGTTTGATAGCTCTGCGCCGTGAAATGGACGGTTTGTTTAACACTTCCAAGTCTAACAAGCACTTGTGGGAGCAGATTTCGGCTAAGATGAGAGAGAAAGGGTTCGATCGGTCTCCTACTATGTGCACCGACAAGTGGAGAAACTTGCTTAAAGAGTTCAAAAAGGCTAAGCACCATGACAGGGGAAGTGGGTCAGCTAAGATGTCATATTACAAGGAGATTGAGGAGATTTTGAAGGAGCGAAACAAGAACGCGCAGTACAAAAGTCCCACACCTCCAAAGGTTGATTCTTTTATGCAATTCTCGGACAAAGGTATTTGCTTTTTCTGGATTTTTGGTTTCTGACTAAAATATGATTGCCTACCTTTTATGTATATGTTGGTCTTCATTAGTTTTCCATTTTTGTAGTCTTACCTGTTTCCCTGAAAAAGAGATTGGTACCATAATAATGTATTAGAAGCTAAATTTAGAGGGTTTCATTTAGTATTTTGAATTTATAAATGTTTCTGTATCTGGAAATGGGTATTATTTGGGATTTGGAGTGTAAAAGGTTTGTAACAATTGATCATTGAGGACTGAGGAAACTTCTAGTCCTTTTTACCTTAATAAAGTCATCCTCTTCAAACTGCTGATTTGAGTGCTTCCTGCAGTAATGGCATTTAGTTTAGACACAGATATGATAAATCTACAGGAACATCTTGGAGTGTGGTTAAAGATAAATAAAAGATACAAAAATCTCATTAAGTAATCTGATGTTATCTGGAAAACAGGACCGTACGGTAAGTTACTTTTGAGGATGTTGCAGACCTATTGCTTAGATATCTAGAATACTAGTTGGGGTAGGCTTAGGGTCATGATCTTATAAACCAGTGGACGGTGATTAACGGATTAGTGGAACCTAGTGAATAGTCAATTTCTTCTCAGTTGCAGACTTATGTTGAGACTGGAAATGCACTTGATAGCAATTGTCTCCCTAAATCTAGTGCTTAACTTAAATGAACCGAAAGATGAGAGAAGAAGCAAGAACGAATTTTTGGATTGTCAAGTGGTCTTGTTTTGGAAATGTACTCCATTTGCAATTGCATGATATAATAAAAGATGGATAAGGTACTAGCTTAATGTGGTAAAGCATTGAATTTGTCCTTTTGCTTATAATTGTTGATTATGGAGATGTCATATGCTAGGTTTTATAGAGTGTTGAATATGCATGAGAGTTGCATAGTATTTTGTGAAATATCGATGATATGGCTTCGTACAAAACAAATCTTATACAGAGGAAGTTTTCATGTGTAGTTGCACTATTTTGTGACTTAGTTTTTTTTCCCCCTCTCATGGTACTCTGGCAGTCTTTCCTGACACATTATAGACTGTATAAAAACCGTTTCCTGTTACGTTTTCTGCAGTGCATTGTGCATATTTTATCAAATAACTACACATGTCTTGGAGTTAGGAGAAAACCTGTCATGTTTATCTTTTGCAACTGACCATGGGGATACTTAGCAGTTAAGTTATGCTATTTTAATGTTCCCTATCAGGAACAACCAGCAGTGCAATTCGGGGTAGGCCCTGACCTTGTGGTGGGGGAAGGTTAGGGATGGGGGGGCCTGGGTGGACTGGTTCTTAGAGGGTTTTCCTCCCCCCTGCCCTTCTTCCCTTAATTTCGTAGAGGTTTCTTCCATTTTGTGTCTAATTTGGGGTGGGCTGCAGTGCAGGTGACCCCTGCCATAAGGTCTCTCATGGCCCAATTATTATTACAGCGCAGCGAACCTCCTGCCAAGAGGCCAAGGTTGCTTGCTAACTCTCAGCCACTTGTTAGAAGGAAGTGTTCCGTCCCCATTCCCTATGCATCAAATGCTGCATGGGGATTCTTGTACATGATTCACTTGAATGTCCTTTTATGTTCCAAGTCATTCCTTTTCTTTTCCTTCACTTGGGCAGTGCATTATTGTTCTCCAGTCTTTTTATTTTGAAAATGCTGCTTTCTTGTCTCCTAGTTTCATAAGTGACGTCCTTCTGCCCCACCCATCCTTTATCTATGTTGTGTTGATAACATTAGAACAACCATTTGACTGATTTTCTGCTCATGCAGGTATTGAAGATGCAAGCATTTCTTTTGCACCTGTTGAAGGTATTGTTAATGTAATCTGAATTTTTGTATTCTGGTAAATGTTTATGCCATTTGATCACCTAATTATTAGTTTGCCTGATAACTCATGACCACTGTTAGAATCTGTTAGAATATGATTACTTATTACTTGTCATCTTTTGAGGAATGAACAATTTATTCAGGTACAAGCATCTCAAATAGCTGATCTCAAGGCTAATGTTGGATATTAGCATAATAGATAGAATTCATGATTCAATTACCAATTCTGTTTTTTACTTTCCTTTTGGCCGGAAATGCTAAGTTCTTGAAGTGCAAGGAGTAAGGCAAAATAGGATAATATGAACTCTTCTGCTTGTTACTTCTATATTCTGCTTCTTCATATTTTTTTAAAAGTCAATTTCTTTCAAAGAGGTGTCTGTCCTCTCTTAAGTTCCTTGGTGTACAGCTAGTGGGAGGCCGACGCTCAATCTGGAACGACGTTTGGATCATGATGGTCATCCTCTTGCCATAACTGCAGCTGATGCAGTTACAGCGAGTGGAGTTCCACCTTGGAATTGGAGAGAAACCCCTGGAAATGGTAAGAAAACTAAATTGAATTGTAGTTGTGAAATTTTCTCAACATGTGTCTTGAGTGTTTATGCTCCAAATTTTTTGTACGGATGAGTAGCACTCAAATCTTCATTTTTCTTACTCAGATATGAGTCAGTGGTAAGATGGTTCACTTATTTTAAATTATTTTCGCCTTTTGGGCAGGTGGGGAGGGTCAATCATGTGGTAGAGTCATATTAGTCACTTGGGGTGATTATACTAGAAGGATTGGTATTGATGGAACTGCCGATGCCATTAAGGAGGCAATTAAGTCTGCTTTTAGGTTGAGAACAAAACGTGCCTTCTGGTTGGAGGATGAAGACCAGATAGTCCGCAGTCTTGACAGGGACATGCCTCTGGGGAATTACACCCTTCATCTTGATGAAGGTATAGGTTTCGTAATGGCCATAATGATTTAAAACGTTCCTTTGACATCAGCTAAATGAAAAAGTGGTACAAAAGTAGCAAATGTTATTCACAGTATTTAATAGAATTTTCATAAAAATTAATGATGTTCTGCTCCCCCTTTTATAATGAAAACTTGATGCTAGAGTCCTAATTTCAGGGGTGGCCATCAAAGTGTGCCTCTATGATGAGTCAGACCATATACCAGTACATACAGAGGAGAAGATTTTCTACACTGAAGATGATTATCGTGATTTTCTGACCCGCCGGGGGTGGTCATGTCTGAGGGAGTTTGATGGGTACAGAAATATTGAAAATATGGATGATCTTCGACCTGGTGCAATATACCGTGGTGTGAGTTGAGGGAACCAGATATTTATCATGTTTCCTTCTTAATGTAAGTGCGGATGATCCATATTGTTAAGTCATGTTTAATGCTGCACTTTATGTTATGGTAGAACAAGGACAAGGACAAAGCACTCGGGCACAGATTTTAATATTGCACATACTGGCCTGGACTTTGATGTTTGTAAATATGTACTTTTCAAAATATAAAGAAGTTTCAAGCCTTCTACAATTCATTTTTGGACAGATTAAAAATATCCTTTTCTAGTAATTACGTTTGGGTGTAAATACGTGATTCTCTTGTTTCTGCCATGCTTCATTTTTGGACAGATTAAACATTTTATTTTCTATTAATTTCAATGTATCTTTTGTGTGCACTGATTTGACCAAAATGATGGAATTTTCCGTTTCTCTACCACTAATTTTGGCGCTGTATTATTTTTCTTCTGCTGGTGAGGGACCATGGTTGAGTCTTAGGGCATGTTTGCTAAAGGGAATGGGAGTGATTCCATTCCACCTACTCCAAGAGGGAAAGGGAGTCAGATTTTTCATGCCAAAATATTTTTTCTTTTGTCAACTTTAGGGTTTCATGCTAGCCCAAACTTGGTTCTACTCTCCTAGCCCAAACTGAGGCAGCCCATTTTATTTGGCCGAACATTATCTATATATAAAGCAAAAAACAGAGAATGGTGAAACATTTAAAATACCAGAAAATGTCATTGGTTAAAGAATTGAAATTATTAATTAAATGAGGATAAAATAGTAAATTCACGTTTTTGCATATTTAAAAAAAATAAAAATAAAAACAAAATCAGATAATAAGTTCTACTTTTATGGAACATAACTACCTATATTATCTTTACTTAATTCTAAGAATAAAATAAAAAATAAAAAATAAAACCAATTGGCACATGCGTGAGGCCTCCCCATTTTATTTGGCCGAACATTATGGTGAATGAATGCATAAATGATCTTTAAGTATCAAGAGCTTCTACAATGAGGAGTTTGGAGTGAAGCCCTTATTTGAGGGGTTAAATCTCAACATCAAACCATTTAAAATGTTTTAAGTCCATTAATTTCCTTATAAATAATCAAACAGTTGCAGATATCTCTGTTTTTAAGCATTGTTATTCGTGCGAATTAAGTGATCTATGTGGTGCATTTTGAAGAATACGGAAACTACAAGATCCCTTACATATGAAAACTGCCAGATAGTTGTCTTATATGAAATGAACACAACTCAAACACAAGTTCCTCCCACCACATACAAATTATACAACATCCAATGGTAGCAAACACCAAGACGGAAAAGGCAAGTCATCATTCTCTTTCCAACTTGTTTTTCTAACCAAATGTGAATTAAACATTCACAGTTCCAAAAGTCAAGCAAACATGGGTATCGCCTCTCCTCTCCTTCCGCTACTGCTCATCCCATTCGTCATTCTTGTAGGACACTAGAGTGTCAACCTTGTGAATCTGCATGATCAGCAAACAAAAATATAGTCAGCAGCCAGACAAACCCATTTCCCCTTTTTATGGTAAAGAGATTTCTAAATGGATTAAATAAATGGGATTCAATTTCTGGAACTTGCCTTGGTGTCAAAGGAATGCAATTTCACAATTTGTGGATTTGCAATCAGTTTGGGGTCACTTTCAACCCAAGTGAATGGGACTGCAAGATCTTTATCCGTGTATGCCAAAACATCAAACACACCTAAAGCAAACAATAGGACAGAACACATGAACATGACAAACACCAAGGTCAAAGAAATAAACATTTTTTTTTTCAATTGGGTGAATGAGTGTGCTCTTACAGGCTTCATCAAGGCACGGCAAGTAAGTAATGCTTGAAGCAATCTGCCTCATGATTGCTTGAATCTCCCTCATGATTTCCTTGTCACTCTTTTGCCTCGACTCCCTTAAATCAAACCAGAGAAGAGATTTAGAACAGAATTGAAAATTTGATAACTGTATGCAACATGAGGGAGACAGTTAAAAAAATCCAAAGTTGAATTGAATTACCCCTTCTCAACGACCTCATTGTCAGTCTCAATGCTGAAGTTCCACCTCTCTAGAACCTCATTAGTCGCCTTGCTCAGTATGACCAGAACAACTCTCTGTAACTTGCCAGATTCCAGCCATTCTTTACAAGATTGAAGAATATAAAATATCAGTCACCCAAGAACAACATATTTCAATCAACCCATAAATCGTTTCATACTTTCAAAGTTGAGTTGTTAAATTAAGAATTAGACACAAACAGCCCAAACGATAAAACCCTAAATAGGTATTACTTACCAGAAAGCTGAGCAGTTAAGTTGGCGATGAAGGATTTGAGGCCTTCATCTTGAGTAAGCAACATGGGCAGCCCATATTTCTTCACCTTTACAAAGCTTTCTTCAGGATACACTCCTCTATTGTACAGAATGCTAAAAGAGAAAAACCCATGTATCCAACCACAATTAATTTCAAGATCCAAGAAGTAAATCGCCAAAAGGGGAAAAACCCCAAAAGATAACATAAAGAACAAGAACAAAGATCAAGATCCCGTGTGATCATTACCTGTTCGCTGAATATCCTGAAAGAGGAATTGCATAGAAATACGAAATACAGACATCAGCGAAAGATTTCTTAGAAACCGAACAAAGCCCAACAAAGACAAATGACAATCAAATCCAACAGACAATAAAATTACCGAAGAACTCGCTGACGATAGCCGCGGAACCACGCAGAGTGATAATGTCTTTGGTCGCAGTTCTTGAAGCCATCACACTAAACCCAGTAAGGATTCTATCCAATTCCAATAGGCAGGAAAGAAAAATTGTGAACTTTCCAATCAAAAAGCGGTTTGTACGTTTCGTGGGATGTGGAGGCTGAAGAAAGAGACTTGGGGATTGAGAAAATCAACGAAAGTAGTGCAATTGCAACGGCTAGTTTTTAAAAATTTTGGGCACCGTCAGGCGGGCCAATGCAACGGTAACTTCCTTAAATTTGCATCATTATGGTATGAGTCGGGTCAGCGGCCCCCATTTGCTGCCACGTAGCAAGGCTGAGAAGGGATGTGTTGTCCGGTGATGAGACAAACCAGCAAATTAAACTTGCATGTGAGATACGTTATGCCATTAGTAAGAGCACTTCCACCAGTTAGCCCTTTGCCATGGCAAGGGGAGTCCTAGGGCGGGTACTATTCACGTGAATAGTGGCTGCCCTAGCAAAAAAAAAAAATTGTGTTTCCAGCAATGCAAGGCTTGCCATGACAAATACTATTCATTTTTTTGTTTTTTTCACAACTTTGTTTACTTAAACAATTAATTTGGATAATATTTTCGGATAAGATTTTTGGGTTCCTATATATGAAAAATCATTTTCTCAAGATTTTTAGCGGAGGTGTAATATTGACTAAGTATGAAAAATGGTTTTTCGGAATAATCATTTTCTTAAGATAATTTTTGGCGGCTTTTATTCTTTACGCATCAAATAAGAAAACTTGATTTTATGGGATTTTAATATGAAGTATATATTCACTTAATGAGCCATCATTTTTAGCCTAAATCGTATTTTGCACTAAAACCGATTTTTTATATTTTGATTTGGTGGGAATTTGATTTTCTAGTATTTTTATTTGAATCCAAATGGGGGGTACTTCCTTATTTACATTGTAAACTTAAGTAAATGGAGTAATATAAAAATAAATAAAAGTAAAAGGACAAAGACATTTACTTAAATGTTGAAAATGGAAATAAGGTATAGAGAGGAAAAAAAAAAGTAATTTTTTGGTATTTTTTTCAATTTTTTATTACAAAAATATTGGCTGCTGGTGTTAAAAGTGAAGAGTATTGGTTGGTATTTATAGAAAAAAAATTTAGTATTTTTTGGGTATTTTTTTTACATTTTTTTCGATTTTTTTATTGGGCAAAGGGAGCACTGTAGCGGCACTGTAGCGCGCTGACGTCAGATTGCCCTCGGGCTGGCGCTCGGGCCAGCCCAGGTAGCTGGGCCCCACTCCTTGCCCTGGCAGATCTTTGTTGCTGGAAACCTTATTTTGGGTTTGCCCCCCCCTCCCAACCCTTCCCTTGGGCCCTTTGCTGGAAATGCTCTAAGTAACAAACTAATCATCCAAATTCCATAAACAAAGCAATTTTTCCAGGGGATCCACACCATCGTTTTCCAAGGTTTATTAATTAGTTGTGATACTATGGTTTCACATATATGGCACTTATTCCGGGTCATACGAACATAGGCCCACACATTGGCAGATTCAAAAAAATTTCAGGAAAGGGGCAACATTTTAAAGGCTAAAAGTATGTGAGGGAAATCCAAGTACAAGGAGTCCATGAACCCATCTACATTAGTCGATAGAGAAGAGAGAAACTTTGAATAAATAAATGTGAAATCTGCATAAAACAAAATTAAATTATAAGTTGAGAAACTAAGAAAGGATAGATGCCAAATAAAGGGGATTAAAGTTCATGGATATTCATTAAATAGAGATACACCATTAAGGGAATTTTGGGAGACAACAAGTTTATGTGAAGTAGAAATGAAATTGAATATTAAAAAGTCTATTTTAGACATTTAATTGAACACATGGTGGACACCAACAGAGGGAGAAATTCCGACCGCCCTAAAGGGTTTTTCGACGAAGGGAGGTGCAGCTGAACCTCCTTGCTCATGTGTAGGTCCGCCAATGGGCCCACATAACTAAAACTTTTTGGCTTAAATTTCAAAATGGTCCTTATATTTTATCTCATCGGCCAATTTAATCCTCGCGTTATCAATTTGGCCAATTTAGTCCTTGTGTTTGTATTTATTAGCAAATGTGATCATTTCCGTCAAAATTTTGTTAAAATTGAAAAAAAATATATATATTTTAAAAAATTGTAATTAATTATTAAATATTCAAATTCAATCTAAAAATGGAATTAATATAAAAATATTTGCCACCCTTAATTTCATGCTCAAACCTCAATCATCTCCTAAACTCATAGCCACTCTCACTACACCCACTTCAACCCCAAAAAGTACACATTGTGTGCTCGTGGTGGAGAAGGAAGATGATTATAGCAAGAAAATACGATTGACTCAATAACTTTCTTTGTTATAGAATGGAAGAGCATGGTTTTTAATAATTAAGTTTTTATTATTATTTGAATTTGAATATTTATATTCAATTTAATTTTTTTTTTCTTTAGTTTCAATAGAATTTTGACGAAAAGGATCACATTTGCTAAA